AGGCATTCCCTCCTATCTGTGGGGTGATAACACGTCTTCATTTTGATTTTCCAGGATTTAGATGTCTGTGGACTACAGCATCTATTTATCATCAGGTTGACTGTGTGCTCGTTTGTTACCGTAATTCTTAATTAAAAAAATATCAAGCCATTTATTATAATTATGTCTTCGTCTTTTCACAAAATTAGTTTTGCACAAAATTACGTTTATTTATATTGAAAAAGATTTAAAACAATTAATAAGTATTGCTACGTTGCCTTAATGTAATCAGTGGTAAAACGTTAAATTCATATTTAAATGCACTGGACCGATATCGATTTGACTTGCGTATAGCCAGTCCACTTTGGTGTAATATTGTGTAAACGAACCATAATAAAGGTGCTTTTTAGGTGATATTAAGAATTTAAATGCCAAAAAAAATTGCAGAAGCACATATTGTCCACACTTTTTTAGGAAGAGAAAAATACAGATTTTTATATGTGGTAGAGCCCCGCTGTGGTTATATTATGGTTGCACCATGAACTGGTTCGCTCGACGGAGGAGGGATCACGCTCTTACAAAAAAGCAACCAAAAATAGCGGTTTATAGCTGTTGTGTTTTGTAAGAAAATTGTATGTTTTTAATACGTGGTAGAACCATGCTACATTTATATTAGTAGTATAGTTGTAGCACGAATGGGTCGGCTCGACCGGGGAAGGTCCGCGCTCTCACAGAATACCAGCGTGAAATAGTAACATTATGCTGCTGTGTTTCGTACGGTGAGGGTAGAGAACCGGAGACCCTTTTTACTGGAAACGAGGCATTCCATCTTAGTCCTCACGGGTGACAACGCATCTGCATTTTGATTCGTAATCGAGGATATATGAAGATGTATATGGGCCGCAGCAATCACTTACCATCTGGTGGACTGTGTGCTCGTTTGTCACCCTATTCTATAAAAAAAGAACATAAAGAACCGGAGACCCTTTTTCCGGGACCTCACGATCAGCAAATGCATTCACGACCACCAGACCAACTAAACAGTCCTCTGTTATGGTTATTGCACGTCGATATTTTTCTCTGTTACTTTGTTTTAAAAACAAGTGCCATTTAATATATTTATTTCTCAGCTGTAGAATATTATATTTAGAAGTTTTTTCGTAAATTTTCAGTGGATACCCGGGCGCTGCTTAGTTTTTAAAAATATTTTGCTATTTTTCTTCATGAAAAATAACACTAGACCAAATGTTTTTAAATATTCCTTTCTTGCAGCCCCGTTATCCTCATTAAGTGTTAACCCTAGAATTTTCATTTGGTCACCTAACAACCTGCGGTGGCTACCAGACAATTCTGTTGTTGGCACAGCCCTCCCGGTCTCCCTATATATACGCTAATGCAGACACAATTAAAAGATTCAATTTTTTCACCCGTTTACAACGTCAAGGTAGGTCAAGGTAAGTGGTTGCTGCGGCCCATATACATAGCACGTGATAAGTCAGCACTTAAAATTGCAATTAAAATTTCATTCATTTCATTCAAATCATTAGTGCCGGTGGGGATTGAACCTGGGTTTCTCGCGTACTGTCCAGTTTACAGCGAGCGCTAACCATCTGAGCTACTACGGCTCGGAACTCTCGTGTTTGATCCCCATTAATACTAAATCGTAATTACGTGCTCATACTTCTCGTGATCCGTTTTGAAATAAAAAACGTGAGGCACGTCCGCTTTTCTGAGATGATAACCTCGTTTGGCCGAGTAGTCGTAAACGCGATTGCTGATTATGAGGTCCCGACTTCAAATCTCTAGTTGGGCACAAAAAAATAGTTATCAAGTTTTGCTGTCAAATAATTCGATAGTAGTAGATTCCAGAAGCCCAGAAGTCAGGAAGTTGGCGGCATTTCAGCTTCGTACCTCGGAGAACAGTAAATTCGTTGGGTCCTGCGACTGATTTTTTTCCACTCGTGTTGAATAACCGTCCCGTCGGACTATGTGAGCAAGGGAATAGAGAGTGCGTTTCTGAGCGTTTCTGTGCGTGTGCATACACTCAGGGACTATAATCCTGTCCTGCGTAGATAGCTAGTCTCCATTGAGACTGGCTGCTCCGGCTGAAATTTGGTGTGAAGTGCATTATTATTATTATTCTGAATTTTTTAACAATTTTGTTGTGATTTAAAGTCTACCAATCCACTATCGGTATCTAATCGGTAACATAGCACTATCATATCAACAATCATATATCCTAAAAAAGTAGTTATTTACCGAAAGTTTTTGTCCACAGAAGTGCTCCAGTGACGTCATAATATTTGTTCCCCAGACATATAGGTTTTTCTTTCTTAATTGATAATAGAATCAACAGTACTTATAATTACAAACATAAATTCTTAAATAATGCTTAATACCAATAAAAGTTTCTTACGATATTTCCCATTTCTCATGATCTTCTTCAAAAATTATTTTTTTATATTCATTCACCGCCGAGCACGTGATAAATCAGCACTTAAAATTGCAATTAACAATTTAAATAGTGCCGGTGGGAATTGAACTCACGTTTTGTGAGAAATTTTATTTTAAGTGTAAACTGAAAATGTAAATTTCATTTATGTTGTTCACTCATAAATTATACCATGAGAACATGGTTACTCGGATTAGAGAATATTGCCCTACATTAGTGGAATCCCCTCTACGACGTTATCTATGGAATAGGCTTATGTTCACGTTGTACTATAATAGGCTGTAACGGTGACGATAGAGGATCTTCATTATGATAACGTTAGAAAAACGGAATTTTAATATCTTTAGTCAAAATATATATAGATTTTTTTTATAATATTGAAGTAACAAAAGAACTTGCAGGCCATCTGGTGGTATGTAGCTATTGCATTCCACAAACACCTAAAACAAACTTCAAGCAAAAAAGCCTACAGAGGCGTTGACACCACTTAGTTACCGTTACCGTAACAAGTTATTAAAGTTCACTGTTGAATATAGGGCTCCCCCATAGATTGACTTATACGGTTGATATTTTCCATACTTGCCACGCTGGGCAAGCGATTTGGCAACCGCAGTTTTATTTATTTTTAGTATTTGTTAGGAAGACACTGCTGCCTATTTCCTGATGCGTTTCTTTCTGTGGCCAGTTACGACACTCACGGGATGATATGAGGTAGTGGGTACTCTTACACATTTTCTACATGGTAACTAAGACGGAATGCCTCTCAGTCTGCAATTATACTGGCTCTCTATTCCCCTCAGACTGGAACGCAGTGGTGCTCGCACTGATGCTTGGGGTCAGAAGTAGGTAAGAAGTTGGTAATTACCCAGATGGACTTTTAGGCAAACGAGAAATCCTACCACCTAGTAAAATTTTAATTTCCCGGGAATTAATATAAATAAAATTAAATACTGGAGCTAGCGAAGATCCTGAGGTCTTTCGACTCCTCTAATAAAGAACGCTGTGTAATTTTAGCCATCATATGTCGTCAATGATGATTTTCCTACATAAAAAACTTACGTGCTTCGTTTCCTTTTTTTATCTTCCCTATTTGGGTTATTGAAATCACTTTATGTCGTTCACTTTATGTCATGACATTAGTCAAGATCCGATCATCCGTAATCAGCCGTAATCCGACACGACCGAAGAGAGATTAGATGTAGAAACAACGGCAGACATAAAATCACACAAGGAACAGAAAAAATAAATAATTTTATTTTTGGCCCGACCCAGGATTCAAACGCAGAACCTCACGTTCAGCAGTCGCGTATATCAATTGTTAGTGTTCGTCGCATAAGCAACTTTTCAAGAATGCTAAGCGTGGCTTCACGTCTCAAAAGCTCTAGTCAGTTGCTATGTAATCGACGACGTAGCGTTAAAGACTTCCGATAGTTTGGTGTTGGATTATTCTTCCGTCCCCTTTTCCTTTTCCGGCTTAATGTAAGCAACACAATGCCCTTTCAAAATCAAACATCTATATGGTAAAATAGAGCACATCTATAGAACATTTTATCGAGTACGAAAGCTGTATGCAAACACGCAATTTTATACATAAGTTGTAAATAAATGAGACTAATCAAAATTTCGTACAAAAGACCCAGTAGTAAAATAAATAAAACCTTTTTGTTAGCCTCTATGTATTGATCTACCTACTGGGATAAAGATTTTTATTTATAAAAAAATTTAAGTGACAAACGAAGTTACAATCCACCTGATGGTGAGATAGAAAGGGACATTTATTTGCCACACACAGACAAAAACTTCAGAATTATATGTATAAATAAAAAAACAGACTTTGAATAAATGTATTATGAAAAACAAATCTTCCTTCATTAGCTTCGTAAACTAATCACACAACAACATAGCAAAACAATATATAAGTTTATGTATATTGCTTGCATATATACGCGTCCGCATACATAATATTATATATGCTAGCATAATATATAATAATAATAAATATCTATACATATATAATATATATAATAGTATAATATTTAATACTACAGCCCATAGACACTTCGAACAACGAAGACTACCGATCACAGCCTGTATTTACACTCTCTGTCTACTGACTCATACAGACATACAGACTGATTAATAAGCAGAAAATGAGTCCTACCTTCAGATTATACTGAAAATAATGCTTAAAAAATCCCGCTAGATATTTAGCTGGTTCTTTCCAGGACGATTTTTTTTCAGAAGCAGTCTTTCAATAAGTATTCTTGTAATCTGTATTGAACAAAAATTATTCTATTCTATATCACATTGTAAATATATTATGTATATTTTATACACACTTTATAGCACTACGCGTACTTTTACCTTTTACTATAGTTAAGATAAGATATGTTTTTTTCGTGTGCTGTGAGTAAAATATCGATTAGCATGATCAATCAATACATTTTTTTTATAAGAGAGGGGCAACCGAGCACACCTGTGGTAAGTCACTCACACTCACTCGTGAGCTATCGCATAGCGTAGTCTAACTTGTACGGATAAATTTACCCTCAATATTAAATAAGTAAGAATGTTTAAATGCGACATTTGTGATAAGTCCATAACAAAAAAGTCATCTCGGCTTGATTGCAACAAATGTGGAAAAATTGAAATTATGCACAGGCTTATCTTCAAGCAGCTATCAGCTCTGCGCAATGCTGAAAACCTGGAGTGGACATGTGAGGATTGTCGTAAAGAATCGCCTCATCGTAAGTCTTTCATAATTCCGGAGGACGATGACGATGATACTGATGGGATTCAGCTGGGTGAAAGCGGTTCGGCAGCGATGAGTAAATTACTTCGTGATATCTCACTTGAGGTAAAGAAAGCAGTGAAGATGGAACTGGCTTCTGTGAACGAATCGTTAAGCTCATGGTGTGTAAAAATGGATACTATAAATGCTACACTGGAAATCCTAACTGAGAAGTTAAGCAGGTATACAGTTTTAGTCACTTATTAACTTTGTTTTCCATTCCTGGTTAGAAGGCTGTCTAAATTGGAAGGCTGTATAAATAAAATACTTCAACTAAACAGTGATGTACCCACTTCTGTATTCCCGTCTGAAGAGCGGAAGTATCTCAGCGTTAGTAATTACATTTTGTACATATTATCAGTACTAAGAGGTGGCAATGCATCTAAGACTTTCTTTGTTTAAAGTTAGTTGCAGCTGTCTCAAGTTCGAGGTATCTCCTATTCAAATTTACTTATTGAAATCTATTTTTAATCCTATTAGGTACCGTTTCTCTTATATTTGTGGGCAAGGATGTACATAAGACTTGTGATTCTCGGACACACTCGTTTGTCACGATAATGTTACAAAAAATTGGGATGAAAAGTGTTCAAAATTCATAATTATGTTGCATTTAAATGTTAAATAGAGTAATAAACAGAAACAGAGAGATATACTATATGTCACGTTGTTTTCTCGATCTGCTACTATAGGTGAACCTCGCGCTTGTGTGCGTTCGCTTCGAGACGCTTGTTGAAACTTCCGTCACCCGTTCTCAGTATGAAAGGAGTACATACTACTACCGAAGAAAGGAATAAGCTATTACGAATGAAGTATCTTACACGTTATGTTCAGTTACTCCGCAACAGAATGCCTCAAAGGCGGGATATGGCGTAGTTGTCGTGGGTTAACAACAGCAGTTTTAGTTTTATTTTTAGATGTTTTTAGAAAGACGCTGCCCATCCCCTGGTTTATTTCCCTTTGTCGCCTTTTACACACTCACGGGACGATATGCGGCAGTGGATATTCTTATACTGCCACAACACGATCAAGTTATTAGAAGAAGAAAATTACCTAGAATTATGGTCACATCTGTAGTAATTGAATTATTAAAAGTTCCTATTCTTATAAAATTACTTATTGAGACAATGATCTTACTATGGTAACATAGCTTATAATGTAAGTCTACTATTTGTTGTTTTCTTATATATAAGTACAATTGAAGGGATATTTCCTTATTTATTTTAAATTTCTGTTGCATGTCCCAATAAATATGATACAAAGGGCGGACTTATGCCTATAAGTATTCTCTACTAGACAAAACTTGGAGTCGTGAAAATATAACGTAAGTGTAGAAATTAAATACACATACATGAAACATTTCCTTTAACTGACACGCGCATCGGCAAAGCGAAGTCTTTGACAATACTCTTACTCCCCGGCCAATGCAGAGGTCATAAAACAACATTCAATTTGCAAATGGGAATATATTAAATTTGTTTTTGTTTTGGTCGAGTTTTTTGAAATAAAGTTATTTCTATACGTTTTAATATTGATATTGAACTTAACTGGAACCACAGGGTTTTCGCTCTTGTTTTATATCTACAGATTTTTCGGTGGATATTCCGCACGAACCAACTTCTTGAATAAGTATTTTTCAGGCGCTTTTTTGATATCATCGGGCAAAGAATTTCAAACAATTGCATGGTATATATTATAGACTATCAGACACCTACATCTTCTCTCAAATGAAAATCGCATAGATTATGCGTTGTAAATCGAAAAACTAAAATGGAACTCGTTAACAGTAAAAAAGGTATTTTATCGCATTTACTACGGGGAGTGCTCTGAGAAATTATTCGGACTATTTCCAGTCGCACAATTTCATAATCGCACATCGCGACAAAACTCGCGATACCATCCATACCATCTGGATGACTGGCGGTCTACCACCGTGCGATTTAAAAGAAATTTTTGTTCCTCGCACAACTTCCTTGTTGAATCGACTACCACCAGAGATTTTTCCGGACAGATCAAGAAAAGAGTCTACTCCTTTTTAAAAGGCCAGCAACTCATATGCAATTCCCCTGGTGTTGCAGTTGCTCATGGGCGGCGGTAATCACTTACCATCAGGTGAGCTGTATGCTCGTTTGCGCCCTTTCCTATATAAAAAAGGAAGGTGATTACTTTGAGGATTGAGGACACTCGTTATTTGATACTTATTCGGAATCGTGTCTTCGATACAATTTATCCTATCTAAGTGATATCATCAGGTGAGCCGTATGCTCGTTTGCGCCCTTTCCTATATAAAAAAGGAAGGTGATTACTTTGAGGATTGAGGACACTCGTTATTTGATACTTATTCGGAATCGTATCTTCGATACATTTTATCCTATCTAAGTGATATCATTAGGTGAGCCGTATGCTCGTTTGCGCCCTTTCCTATATAAAAAAGGAAGGTGATTATTTTGAGGATTGAGGACACTCGTTATTTGATACTTATTCGGAATCGTATCTTCGATACATTTTATCCTATCTAAGTGATATCATCAGGTGAGCCGTATGCTCGTTTGCGCCCTTTCCTATATAAAGAAGGAAGGTGATTACTTTGAGGATTGAGGACACTCTACACATTGAAATAATACTAGTTTTTACGAAATTTATCGCGTATATTTAACTTTTTAATTACCCGACGTTTCGAGAGCTTTACAGCACCCATGGTCACGGGAAAGACTGAGATGTTCAACGTCCAGCTGTCATAGTTAACCGCGGTTACCATAGATTAAAATTTAACTTTTGTTCCGATCTACACAGTATGAACTTATGGTATCATGGAGACTTGCAGTTGTATGCTTGGGTTGGGATTTAATTTTATTTATTATAGGATCCCAAGCAGATGGTAGCACCCAGCCATCTTCTCTATTGAAATTAGGATGTTTTTTGATTTCAATAGCCTCGCGAATCATCCTTGGAAGGAATCGGTGTTCTTTAGCGAGGATTTGTGGTCTATCAAATCTGATGTAGTGATGGGGGTGATCCTGTACATGTTCACAGACTGCAGACTTCCCGGAGCGTCGATTCTTCACATCAGCTATATGTTCTTTGATGCGGGTTTTAATGGATCTTTTAGTTTGTCCTATGTAGGAGAGACCACATTCACAATCAAGCTTGTACACTCCTGCATCTTGCAGAGGGACGTTACACTTGACTGATGGTAAAAACTGACCAATCTTCTTCGGCGGCTTGAAGTATGTTTTGATGGAAGCGCGCTTCAAGATGTAGCCAATCTTGTCAGTGACTCCTCTAACATATGGCAGTACAGCAGGTACACGCTCGACTGTGGCCGGCTTCACTCGTTCTCTGTGACGTAGGCGCGGGACCCGAAGCTTGTTGTCATGCAAAACTTGCTTGACATGTTGGAGCTCGGCAGCCAGGTGTTTACTGTCACAGATCCCTCGTGCTCTCTGAAACAAAGATTTACCCACGGTAGCTAACTGTGAAGGATGGTGGTGAGAATCACCGTTTAAATATCTATCTGTATGGGTCTTTTTTTCTATACACAGTATGGCTCAAGGTGTTATCAGGATTCCGAATTACTAACACATCTAGAAAAGCTAAGGAATTGTTTGCCTCTAACTCCATTGTGAACTGAATTTTAGAATTTATAGAGTTAAGATGGTCTAAAAATGCAGTTACTTTATCTAAAGGTAGAATTGTGAAAGTGTCGTCTACGTACCGCTTGTAGAAACTTGGATTTATGGGAGAAGTAAGCGGGGCTTTCTCCTCAAAGTCTTCCATGAATATGTCGGCGACAATGGGAGATACAGGTGAGCCCATCGCCAACGTCAGTGACACAAACCCTTTCTGATGGCGAATTATTACTCTTATCTTATAACTGCCTTTTGGCTATATCTGCCGTTGTATTGGTTGGTGGAGCATATGTGTCGACCTCATGCGGGTGGTAGCTGGCGGGAGGATCTGAGGAGACTCTCAAGGCTGCGGCCGAAAGCCGCACAACGTGGGACCCCATTCCCTTGAGGTGAGCAGTAGACTCATGACACGCTCTGCGGCTAGTAGCCGTGCTGATCATGCAACTGGTGGTGATGCCATACACTTACATCACGTCTGCAGAAGCGGCGGTCTGGCAGGTGGTGGCGCTCACGGAGGGTTTACGGCCAGTGTGCCTATTTGCCTAAACCGTGTGACGTACATTCACTCTGGCTGGATTCGTTCGTATTCTGTTTGGCGTTTACACGCATTGACATGCGCGACTTCGGTCGATGTTTGTGCTTACGCACTAGCAAGGGGCCAAGCCTCTTTTACTGGTTCGCCAGTTATTTTGCTGTGGACTACGGTCCAGTTCCCGAATTAGCTTTCCCTTCGGGGGGAGTGCATCAAAATGGTTGGCACTCACCGTGCACGGCGTGTGTGGGGCCGTGTACCTCCCCTACATTTTTTTTAAATAAATGTAGGAGAGCGAAGCCCTTTTATCGGGTATTTTTGTATAAATATGTTGTGAGTCTTTTCCAAGCGGGAAGGGATAAATAATAATAAATTAATAATGTCAACCTGATACAAGTGGAATAAAGACGTTTTACGTTCTTAACCTTTCTCGAGCCCTGTCTTCGTGAACGGGGTTCACTTAGCTTATAAGGCACTACCAACAGCTTTCAATTGTTCTAGTGAATATTCATTCTTCCAAAAGACACCTAAAAGAACTAAGTTACTAAACAAACACAACGTAAATAAGGGTCCTAACTAAGACGATCATGCCAAATTATTACAAACGGCCTATTATTAAACCTTTAGAAAGATCAAAACATAATTTATTATTCCTGGTCACATATATATAATTTTTATCGAAAAGGGGTAAATTAATTATATCTAATATAATTATTATTATGAGAGAGGGGGGGAAGCGTTACAATTTGGTGCCGTGACCAGGATATATTTTAAAAAGAAAGTCGTCTGTATAAGAATTATGAAGTAGGCGTTATGCCTACAATTTGTTGTCCGTGAAATGGAGAGGTGTCTTGGAGGATGGTGTTTGCTGGGGGTGGTTGAGAGTCTGGGGGTGGGGCTTTAATATTAATATTTTTTGTTTGTTATAGATGGTGTGCGCATAGAAATCTAAGACAAAATAAACTAATAAGTGAAATAAGTGAAAAGTACTCAGTAACATTTGTATAAGTGAAAGACATAACAGTGCTAAAATCTGGAAAAGTATAAAA